AATTCTCGATCGTTGGGACGCTGATAACAATTTTTTTTTTTAATGGCACTTCATATCAAAAAGGTTGCCGACCCCTGGTGTAAACCATGTGAAGTAGCTGGGGCAAAGTGAGCCTGCGGTTCAACTTAACCCCCCTGAGGCACTGCAGTTAAGTCTCTGTAGTATACAATGGCATGTAAATGTAGTTTTACACTGTTACATGATCCAGTAGGTCAGGTTCAAGATTCAAGGTTCAAGGTTCTTTATTGTCAATCTGACATAGCTACAGAGTAATTATGTAGTTGAAAATCTTATGTCACAGGCTTCTCCAACAATGCAACATAATAACATAATAACAATAAGAGCAAGAGCAATACAAAAAGAAAAATAGTTATAAAATAAAGTGAGCATGTGGAATAGTGCAGTACAAGTCTATATACAAGTTATTGGAATGATATATATATATATTAGGTATTAGATACATAATACTGAGTAGCAGATGAATGTTTTGAAGTTGTTTCAACAGTTCAATTTTTTAACAGTCTCACTGCCCGCGGGAAGAAACTGTCTCAGAATCTTCTTGTCCTTGCCAGGATGCTGCGGTAACGTCTGCCAGACGGCAACAGAAAGAACAGTTTGTGGCTGGGGTGATGGGGGTCTTTGATAATCCGTAGTGATTTCTTCCTGAACCGCTGGGAGTAAAGGTCCTCCATGGATGGCAGCTCCGTCCTGGTGATGTGCTGTGCAGTTTTCACCACCCTCTGTAAAGCCTTACGATCGAGGTCGTTGCAGCTGCCGTACCAGGCCGTCATGCTGCCAGTCAGGATACTCTCTATCGTGCACCTGTAGAAGTTGCAGAGTATCCTGGAATCCATTTTGAACCTCCTCAACCTGCGGAGGAAGAAGAGCCGCTGTCGAGCTTTCTTGGTGATGGTGTTTGTGTGAAGAGTCCATGTCAGGTCCTCAGTGATGTGGACACAGAGGAACCTGAAGCTGCTGACTCTCTCCACCGTAGTCCCATTGATGGCGATGGGGGCGTGTCCCTCTCTCTGCTGCTTCCTGTAATCCACAATCAGCTCCTTGGTTTTGCTGATGTTGAGATGGAGGTTGTTATCCTGGCACCAAGATGTCAGGTTTTCGACCTCCTCTCTGTACGCCGTCTCGTCGTCGTCTGTGATCTGGCCGATGACGGTCGTGTCATCAGCAAACTTCACGATGGTGTTGGAGCTGTGTGTGGCCACGCAGTCGTGAGTGAACAGGGAGTAGAGGAGAGGGCTGAGCACGCAGCCTTGAGGGGCACCGGTGTTGAGAATCAGGGTGGAGGATGTGATGTTTCCCACCCGCACTGCCTGGGGTCTGCCCGTCAGGAAGTTCAGGATCCAGTCACAGAGGGCGCTGTTGAGCCCGAGGTCTCTGAGCTTGATGGCCAGCTTGAAGGGCACAATGGTATTGAATGCTGAACTGTAGTCAATGAACAGCATTCTCACATATGTGTTCCTGTTCTTCGGGTCCAGGTGTGAGAGGGCAGTGTGGAGGGTGAGGGCTATGGCGTCGTCTGTGGACCTGTTTGCTCTGTAGGCAAACTGCAGGGGGTCCAGAGATTCAGGGAGGGAGGAGGTGATGAATGATTTGACTAACCGCTCAAAGCACTTCATTATGGTGGAGGTGAGTGCTACTGGGCGGTAGTCGTTGGGGCTGGTGATTATTGTCTTTTTCGGGACAGGAACGATAGTGGAATGTTTGAAGCATGTGGGGACTACAGACTGCAGCAGGGACCTGTTGAAGATGTCTGTGAACACCTCTGCCAGCTGAACTGCACACACCCTGAGAACACGGCCAGGGATGCCATCAGGTCCAGGAGCCTTGTGTGGGTTAACCCTTTTAAAGGATTTACACACATCTGCCCTATTTAAAACAAAAGGGCAGGGTAGCTCCTGGTCCCTCTGTACCTCCACAGCCCGGCTGCTCTCAAAGCGTGCAAAAAAACTGTTCAGCTCATCTGGGAGAGATACGCACGCAGACTGTCCCGCAGCACCCCCCGCTGCTCCTTTGTAGTCAGTCATTGTCCTTAGTCCCGCCCACATATTCCTGGTGTTACAGCCTTTGAAGTCAGATTCCACCTTCTCTTTGTACTGTCTCTTTGCATTGTTAATTGCTCTCCGGAGATCATACCTAGATCTCCTGTACTCCTCCAAATCTCCAGCTCTGTGCGCGATAGTGCGCGCTTTCAGCTTGCCGCGCACATCGCAGTTTATCCAGGGCTTTTGATTTGGGAATGTCCGTACAGAAACCTTCGGTACCACGTCATCGATGCATTTCCCAATGTAGCAGATGACAGTGTCCGTGTGTGTGTTGATGTTATTGTCCTCAAACACACTCCAATCCGTAGATGCAAAGCAATCCTGCAGTGCTGCATCTGACTCCTCGCTCCATCGCTGTCCTGTCCTTGTTATCGGTCTGTCCCTTTTAAGTTTCTGCTTGTACGCAGGCAACAGCAGCAGTGAGATATGGTCTGATTTGCCGAAGGGAGGGCGAGGGGAAAGGGGCATAAACATGGTCCAGTATGTTTCCCCCACGCGTCGGGCAGCTGATGTGTTGGTAATATTTTGGCAAAACCTTCTTCATGTTGGCGGTGTTGAAATCTCCGGCCACAACGAACGCCGCATCTGGCCGTGAAGTCTCGGTTTTATCAATAATCCCAAACAGCTGATCGAGTGCCGTGTTGTTGTCGGCGAGTGGCTGCGGAGGGATATACACTGCTGTTATCACAACAGATGTGAATTCCCTCGGCAGATGGAAGGCCCGACATGAGATCATGAGGTGCTCTAGATGAGCGGAACAGTCCGAAGAAATAATCTTCACATCTGAGCACCAGTTGTTATTAGTCATTACACACACACCGCCTCCCTTACTTTTCCCCGAGTTAGCAGTCCGGTCCTGACGAAAAATAGAGAATCCATCAGGAACAATGGCGGAGTCCGGGATAGCGGGGTTGAGCCAAGTCTCAGTGAGAATTAACACGTTACAGTTCTTAATGTCCCGTTGAAAAGCAATCCGGCTTCTGAGTTCGTCTAGCTTATTTTCAATGGATTGAACATTAGCCAGAAGAATACTCGGAAGAGGGGGCCGATTCTCTCGTTTCCTCAGTCTGACCAGCAGCCCGGCCCGGCACCCGCGCTTAGTCTTCTTCTTGCGTCTCTCAGGTAGAACAGCAACAGGTAGCCATGGTGAATCTCCATTGTCTGTCGGAGGGTTATTATTGTCCACGAAGTTTCGCAATTGAAGAAGTTCCTCTCTGCTATATTGTATGGCAGAGTAGGTGCGGTCGGCTAGCATGTTGCGAACCATGTTAAAAGTAAAACGGCAAAAGTAAAATAAATATGTACAAAATACGAAAATGGGCAAAGTTGGAGAGGAGCACAAAGACGATGCGGCCATCTTCACCGGCGCATCTTCACGGAACTAAGGTCAGCTAAGGTTAACTGGTCTTGTGTAGCTAAAACAGTATCTTGACTTTTAAGTCTAGATAGTTTCAATAATCTTAAGGCACGCCACCATCTTTCCTGCCGTATGCCTGAAGCAACATCTTTAGGAAGGGCTACAGCCTTTAATACAACTACAGTGGAGGACTCATTTGACAATAAAGTGATAGACAGATGAGAGAATAACCACAATTATGACTAGCCTATATAAATCGGTATTCTTTTTCTCTTCTTATGCTCAGTTTTAAACTTGAAAAAGTCAGTTGGTCCACTTACCCCCAGATGGTTCAATTTACCCAAGTTAAGACTGTAGTTCCATCTAATCCAAAATTCGATTCGAAGGTAGCAGTAAGCTTGACTCGGACAAAATACGTCTCAGGAAAGTTTGTTTGACTCTTTACTTAAAACAAAAAGGTATCAAATACAAACACATATTTTCACAGGTCAAAACACTATGTTGCTCTGTGCTTCTTTCTCCTTCTCACACACAATCACCAGCAGCTGTCGTCGGCTATAACGTCTGGTAATCACAAACAGCTGCGGTCGTCTATGCCGTCAATTCCACACGGCTGGTTCAAATAAATGATATAATAACACTATCAACAAAGGATTATAATATACAAATATATCAAACTATACATTTTAACATATGGCTCCTACAAAGACGTTAAGAGAAAAAGTCATATTTTCATGTCCCTTTGTGATAGATGCATTATTATCATTTTGATTGACAGAAGACATCCTGAAGTAAAGGTTGTTATCATTTGACTTCTATCTCATTTTTCATTGCCTAGAGGACAACATGTAAAACTTGGCTCATCTTGCCCGTATCCCCTACGTCAGCTTATTGTTTCCGCACTGTGAACTATTTGCTGTCGGGACGTTCCGTCTGTTTGGAGTCCTGCCTTTAACCATCTGCTCATTTTCAACAGACCATTAGGAGAAAGCATTCTGAGAGCACTGTGACATTGGTTTTATTTCATACTGCACAATGTATGACTGCAATATTATTACCTGACTGGAGGTCACATTTCCAATGTACAATAGCAGCTGGAGAGCCGAGCTGCAGAGCCATAAAGACATGGAGGAACCACGTCATCAGCCTGAAAAGCTGTTAGTTGAATAGGTTTTGAAAGTCTTACCATTGGTGTCGTTAAAATGTGAACTTTTAGATTTGGCAGGCACTCATGGCACATCTCAACACAAGCCACTGTCCTGAATGAATCATACATGCTGCTATCAAAATGTCAGGGTGTCTGTGCTATTTGTAAATCTGCTCAAAGGAAACACACTGCGTCCACTCTTTACTATCCACTTTCCCCTCCCTCTCTTCTGGTAAACCTTCTCAGATATAATAACTGAGTGTTTGAGAGGAGAGTGTTTCTGCTGCCATTCAGCAAATGGAAGTCTGTTCAATTGTTGATGATACAGACATCCACAAGCTTGTCCCCTGGATACATTTATGGAAAGTAGGACAGTGGTGGGCCCGATCACTAATCCTGAGTCTCCCCCTTCCCCTTCTCTCTCTGTCTCTCACAGGCCAGCCCCGCCCCGGTCATCGTCAACACAGACACTTTGGAGTCTGCTCCTTACGTGAGTTTCAATCTCTCTGTCTTTTTTTAATGCACCTATTACTGTTTTTCAGTAGGTCTATGAATACTTCCAGTAGATTGAGGCACACTGGAGAAGTAGTACATTCAAATAACATCTATTACTGTGTTTGAGTTGAGACAGTAACTCCTCAAAGTAACAAATTAGGTTTCAGTGCTGAATTATTGATGATTGTCATGAAAATGACCAGCACAAGACTTTCTCAAGACCTTTACCCCTCACATTTTGTGAGTGTTACACAAAAATAAATATATAATTCAGAATCAAAATCAGAATCAGAATTGAAGGTAAAGTGCAGCACAGAAGCTTGACCCAGAACAAATTGGGATTCAAGATTTGATGTTGTTGTCATGATAAAATAGTCACAGTCTGCAATAATAATAATAATAGATTTATTTTGTTAGCGCTTTTACAGGTGCTCAAAGTTGCTTTACAGAGATAGTGAAAAGAAAAGAACAACAAATAAATGTAGTTAAAGTCAACTAATATGTTAAAGGTAAAGATGAAGAAAGATAAGGTAGATGAAGGTAGAGAAGATAGGTAAAGATGAAGAAAGGAGAACAGGAGCATCTGCCTCAGACAGTCTTTCTTTCTTTTGATGCATAATGACGGGGTGGCTAGCTGCTAATGAATCACCTCAGTGAGATTCACCATGAGATCTAGCTAGCCTCCACGTTACGGAAAAGCCTGATGTTGATTACCAGCACATGAAATGGTTTCCCTTGAAGTGGCCCCTCTGAGCCCAGTAAGTACCAGCGGCCCTGGAAAACACTATTTTCCACTATGCATGTCACATATTTGACATCATCCTGTATTTATTAAGCATCACTGGCATGTATTTTCATATTGAAGTAATATTTGAATGTCTTGTATTGTTTTCTGTTCCTCAGGTCAATGGAACAGAAATTGAATATGAATTTGAGGAAATCACTCTAGAGCGGGTGAGTGTCTTACAGTATCTAGTGCTCTCCTACAGGCTTCAAAATAAAATGCATAGTGTGGTTAATGAGAGGGGATTTGAACGATGTATGTATTCATGCATTATGGGATTAGAAAGCATATAAAACCAGATACACACAGCTACTGACCTGAAATTGCTTTTTTGGTAAACATCATGAATTCATTTCTAAGATCATGACATAGTTTTAACATGGCTTACAAGCCTATGTCTGGTCCTCTCAAGTGGTCGCCTTGGTGAGCACAACAACATTTGTAATTCAGTGTTTGAGGCAGCACGGCCCTGCACGGACACTCTTTTTGAGTGGGCATCCGGGGGATTTGATCTGTATAGCCAACAAACTGCAGCCCCTACTCTGAAAGACCGGGTGTGATCCTGCTGACAAATAAATATAATATTTGATAGTAAGAGCCAGGTTAACTCAGGAGAAAGGGCAGAATGTTGTAATGGTAATCTGAACACTTTGTAATCATACTGAGAGCATACTGAGATGTGTCAAAGTGTCATGGACTTTAAAGACATTTGACTGATTTCCAACAGAAATGAAAGTCAACACTTAGGTCTCTAAAGTTAATACCTTGAAGGCAATGAGGATGCTTGCAAGGTTATTTTTCACACAGTGCCGTCAAATAGTGCACAACATGTCTTTCATCTGTGGGTCAGTGATTCTCTATGGTACTCGTTCACCAGGGGGTAAATATCAAGTTGCCAAGGTATATGTGGAAGGATTGTGGAGGAGCTCAGCGGATCTGAAAAAAATACAAATGAATGAATTCAAAACTAGAAACAAAATGCATCAAAATATTAATGTCGAGGGAGAAAGTTAACACAAAAGATTGAAAAATTGGTGTTGTGCTGATATCTAGGATGTATTTATTTCCAACAGCCAGTAAACTAACAGCTAAAGTAAGCTTTTTATTATTTATATATTTTATATTTTTTTCACATATTGTAAAATTGGCTCAAATGAAACACTTGACATGACTCACGGCTGTCCTACACAAAAGCTTGGGAACCACTGCTTTATAAAAACATCTAAGAAAAGATTGCATAGCTAATGCAAACCGTGCCCAGACACTTGCATCAGCACTCACATAGTGTTAAGGATGTTTCTCTAGTTAGAACAGCAGCAGAGTCATGTGTTCAGGCCCTCTCTCTGTGCTCACTGATGCTCTCCATGGCGTAGGGTAACTCTGGGTTGGGCTTCAGCATTGCCGGAGGGACAGATAACCCCCACATCGGCGACGACCCCGGCATCTTCATCACTAAGATCATCCCGGGGGGAGCTGCAGCAGAGGATGGACGCCTCAGGTCAGTCATCTTCCACACAGCTTTTTAATAAGGGATACCCAGAGAAATGTCCGGAGCCGAACAGGAAAAGAAAGCACTGCAGAAACTTGTAACAGGATGACTTAGAGATCATCTCTCAGCACTGTGGACTGGATATATCACTGCGTACTCCTTCACCACTGGATCATCTGTAAACATATCTGAGATATTAGACAGCAGTTTCTTGTGTTGGTTGGTGTCCCAGTGCAGAAGGGAGTAACACTTCATGTACTGCAGAAACTCTGCTTTATTTATCTTGCTGATTCCTTTTGTTCATATGAATCCTGTGCACTCTTTAATATGGAATCAGATTTACATTGATATGAGCAAACAAGAACTGTTAAATAATTTAAAAGAAATAGGAATTTGATGGAGAGTAAAACTCAACTAAACAAAAAAGTAATTGCAAAAGTGAAACTTATAACTATACCATCAAATAATTTGTGTAATGAAATAAACTATTGGTCTTTAACTTGTATGATAAATGATAAATCAATACTTACACTTTATTGACCTCATAGGACTTCAGTAAAAAAGAAAGTGGGCAGTGAATGCTCCGTGCTGCTGTTTAGGGCGATGGTGTCGGGCAAAACCCAAATTTGCATTTGCTGCACTGAATATTGTCCGGGCACTTAGCTGTCACTCACAAACGCAATGCCCCCCCCCCCCCCCCCCCCCCTCCCCCCCTTAAATCAGACTTTAGTTCCACCTGGACTAAATTCACAAGCTACCCTGCAGTATACAGAGGGTGTTTCTCAATCGCGAGTACGCTTGCTTGGTAGCACATGTCTGCCGAGCATCTTGCTTCAGAAGCGAGTCAAGAATAATTCCTGCAATTCGGAAAACAAAGAGTGGAACAGGCTAGCAAGTGTGCAGGTGTGCGTCATATGAGAGGCCCCGCCTTACATCTTCCGCCACAGATTTGGGGAAATTGGTCCGTGCGCAAAGCATTGTGGGGATTTTAAGACCGCGGAGTCTACACATGTGCAGCCTCGAAATTTCTCCAAATTAAATACGCCGGGCTCGGTAGATTTCCATGTATGCTGGACATTGGAACAGTACTTCGGCGGCACTCGATGACGTAGTATGCTTGAAATAGTGGCTCTGCAGCAGCTTTACTCGAGATTGAGAAACACCCAAAGTCATTCAAACTAGCTGCACCTTTACCAGCTTTGATAACACTTTAATGATCAATCATTATAAAACATATCATATATATTATTCTGAGATGGACCAATCTGCACAATGACTACTTGTACTGTGGGAAGCTGTGGCTCAGTGGGTAGTGTGCTGGACTTCGAATCAGGGGGTAGCAAGTTCGAGTCCCACTGCAGCATGTCGTTGTGTCCCTGAGACACTTCACCCCAAATTGCTCCTGTGGGGATTGTCCACAGTACTGTAAGTCGCTTTGGATAAAAGCATCTAACAAATGACATGTAATGTAATGTTGTACTGTCGCTACTTTAACTATATTTTGATGATAATACTTTTCTACTTTTACTTGAGTAACATTTTGAATGCAGGACTTTTACTTGTAACAGAGTATTCGTACACTCTGGTACTTCTACTTTTACTCAAGAACAAGATCTGAGTACTTCCACCTCTGTCTGATTTCAAACTCTTCCATTAACACCCTGAGTAAGTTTGCACCTGTGTGTTTGGTTTTGCTCCACCTTGTTGTAAATAAAACTGCAGCAGCCTGACCACAGAGCGTGAACGTTGTGATCAGCTGATTTGTCGCAGTTCTCCAGTGTGTGCGCGGGGCACAGAGTGTGCACAGAGGAGTCTCCCTCCGCAGCCAGTTGACGTAGTTTTGGTACAATTCTGTTGTACATACCAACATTAACAGCAACCCCGTCCGTGCACACGGCAACCAACTCTGTCGTCCAGTGATCTAAGCCTCTGCCTCCTGGAAAAGCTTCACCAGTCTGTCGGTTATGGCCTGCGCGGCTCGGCCAGCACCCAGTTCAATCAGTCATTGAAAGTCCGAAGATTTTTTGAAGGTAGCGAAACACCAACGTACCTGCTTAACATAGGCGGCGCTAGGGGGTGCTGCAGCTCCCCCTAACATCCCCAAGAAATGTATGAATCTTTTTTTTTTTTTTTGTGAAATTCATAATTTGAAAAATGATTGATTCTAAAATAATATGCCACAGTACAGTACAAGTACTTCTGGGTCTCTATGTTTCATTCAATTCATGTGTGTGTGTGTGGCACGTGCTCATTTAGTGTGATTGAGCGAGCGAGAGAGAGCGCACCGGTGCCATTTGTTGTTGTTAGCATCTGGTTAGCGAGCTGCCTGCACTAACAGATATAAGGAGCTGTTTCCACAACAAGGTGGAGGAGAGTCCTCTCCTGTCAGACTGAGAGGCTCAGGTGAGCTAAAGGACTCTCTGAGTGTTTAGATCAGGGGTGGGGAACCTCCGGCCCCCGGGCCGTATACGGCCCGCGAGACCATTTGGTACGGCCCTCGAGGTAATTTATAAACACACGCAAAAAATAAAAACATTTAAGAAATCTAGACCGCAAAAAAATTAAACAAGCGAGTGCCTGTTTTTCCTGGCCAAGGTCAGGTTCCTTGAACACAACACGAGCCTAACGTGTCATCACGTGGTATATGTCTCGTCTGACAGGGGTTTAGTGCTGACGGAGAGCACCAGATCGTCGCTCCGGCACTTCCAAAAATGTCAGTACCCATAAGGAGCCGTACACATGCCGCAGTTTTTGCGTGGCTGTGTCTTTAGTTGAAAGCCCAGTGGCGATCTGTTCATCTGTCATACTGATCATACAGTCAATAACTTTGTTGTTATTAGCATCTGGTTAGCTAGCTATGCTAACGAATATAAGAAGCTTTTTCTACAACCAGTGAGGTAAAGGCACATCTTTATATGATCATTATAGTTATCAAAAAATAAGAGAATAAAGTAAACAGGTATAAAATACTATATGACGGAGTGATTTGTAAAATATCCATAAAGAAAAAGTAAATCTGCTTACAGTTCTGTTTCATATGTTGAGAGATGTATCCATAGATCTCCTAATGTTGCTCACAAAGTGCACCAGATTGATGCTTTTAACTTCAACATTTAAAAAAAATCTTCCCGGGGGAGCATGCCCCCCGGACCCCCCTAGAGGAGGTTAGGTCCCCCCCCCCACTTAAATCATGTTCACATGGATAGGAAACTAAATACATTTGCACACATCTTGTGTCCATATCTTTCTGTTTTGGTGGTCATGCCACACCGTGCACGTGCACGTGCATGCATGCGTGAGTCATGGTAAAATATCTGGATTAAGAGGTTGCTTTTTCTTTGCACAGCATGAAAGAAAGGCCAAATGAATGGGCTGTGATTTTAGTATTTTTAAGCAGAGGTCAATCATTTGTACGGCCCTCGGAGGATGTTGAAAAAATTGAAATGGCCCTTGAGAGGAAAAAGGTTCCCCACCCCTGCTTTAGATAGTTAACTTTAGTATTAGTTATCTCAGTGGGTCTCAAACGGTTTAGTCACAAATTATGTAAACAATTATTTCCGAGGCACACCTTCATATGATCATTATAGTTATAAAAGAAATAAGAGAACAAATGAAAAATAGTTATGAAATACTATATGACAGTAAAACAAGAATACAGCGATTTGTAAAATATCCATAAAGAAAAAGTAAATCTGTTTACAGTTCTGTTTCATATGGGTGTTGAGCAGACGGTCGTTACTCAAAAAAAATTATATATTACACATTACTCATTACTTTAAAAAAAAAAAGTAATATATTACTTTACTTCTTTACTCTCTACATAGTAACTCGTTACATTACTCTTTACATTACTTTTGCGTTACTCAGCAACAGCCTATAGCCAAAACTTAAAACGTAGGCCTACATGTGCACACATCAATTACTATTGCAATAAGGAAGACATAACACAAGTTAATAACGGGGAAAATTCTAGTTTTTGCTGCTTGTTCGGAGTCGGCACACACTCAACATCATCACTCTGGGTTCGGGGGTCTTTAGCTACTAGCTTCGTGTTAGCATGTTGCCTTTGCAGGTGCTTGGAGAGGTTTGATGTTGTGTTTGCAGCAGTGCACCTTACCGTCACATTCCTGTCCTTTCTTCTGACAAATTCAAAATAATGGGCATACCTCCACCCCTCGAAAGTTATAGCTGTTGATGACTGTTTCTCAAAGTCGAGGACGCTTCCTTGGTAGGAAGTCCTTCTGAGTCAGGTCCTTCAGAGTCTAGGCAAGAATCCTTCCTAGCATTCAGAGAACGAAGAATGGAACAGGCAAGCAAGTGTGCAGGTGTGCTGTCTATATAACCTCTCCCACCTTGTACTTGGTTTTAAGATTGTCCCGATGTACCTAGCTAATTATGAACTTGCTTTACTTTCACGGAACACATTTATGGTGATAACAAATTTAACAAAGTAACATATTTACCAACACATTTACTACGCCACTGAACATACTTACATTTAAATGTGTACTGCACGATTTTGGAAATAGAGAGGGACCTTATTTCGGAAAAAGTTTGTATTGAAGTCAATGGAGAGAGAAAGATTATCTTTCGATCCCGTTTGAATTGTGCCACAAATTACACATATGATGTTTGTCAATCTTAAATAATCATTTCCATGTCAAAAAAGTCACAGTTTGTCGTAAAACTGTTGAAATATAAGACTATGAAAAATACGCAACTAGAAAGACTACAAATCCCAGAATCCCGGTCCCGCATGCTGGCTCTTATGGAACCGACTAACTCCCCTTGTGTGTATGTACAGCTCTCAACATGCCCAGACTTGTAGTGATTTTCACCTCTTTTAATACTTTTCGCCTCATTCTGAAAGAAAGAAGTAAAATGTGCCAACGTGACGGCCGTCTTGGTGTGTGGTGCGAGACGGGAGATGTAGTTCATTGAGCGGTTTCACACAAAAAAAGTGTTACTTCACAGTTTTACGACACATTTACAATTTTTTGACTTGTAAA